GTATGCAGTACTGGGCCAGGAGGCTGGAGCAGGAGATTGATGGAGTGATGAGGATATTTGGTGGAGTCCAGCAGCTCAGAGGGGTAAGCTGTCTGTCTTTTACCTGTGCTGCCTTCTTCGTGGCAATGAATGTTCTCATCTGCAGAAATCACCTGTGTGAACACTTGCAATAAGTCACCCTCTTGGCTCATTCCATGTGCAGGGTCATGGCTGGCTGTGCTTCTGGTTGCTGGTCAGTTTGATGTATTTATCGAGTGTGTGGGAGTGAGTGTGTTTTGTATCTGTCTGTCTCTCGGGCTGCGTGTCACTGCTATCTGAGCATGTACCTGTGGGGTTTTTTTCTATATGACACACTAAACGCATCTTAAATCCAACTAACCTTTCCTCCAGGGACTGAAGGTAGTTTAATTTGTGTTTTAATTTTAAACTTCTGTTGACAAAGCAGGAAATGTTCAAAGGATAATTCGACTAGCTGTTGGAAGCTCTGTGTTTTTAAATACACATTGCAGGTAGAACTGTAATTCTTGTTTGGCTTCTGTTTCCAAGTGCACAAAACAAAACCCTGTTACTGATGCTGGCATCTGCCTCCTGCTCCCTGACTTAGCACCATGGCCCGGGTATGGCAGGCTATGGAAGCCGGACCTCCTCTTTTCCTGGCAGCAGTGCTCTGGGTTGGGTTAGGGCAGTTACAGAACGGCTTCGTCATGGTTTATTAGATTTGTGGATCAAAGGGTCTTTAAGACCCTCCCTGTTTCCTCTTCCCAGTAAGACCCAGTTTCCCTTTCCCAACACTGTTGTGCTGACTAGCTGTTTTGAAATTGAATAACTTGAAGTCAGGGTTATGGTGTTAATCTAAAGAAAATAGGCTTCTCTAGCATGATAAATATGTCGCCCCAGAAAAAAAGCATGGGGTATTTGTGTTTTCTCATGGCAGTGGCGTGTTCTTCTCAGATGCCGAAGATTTATGAGCCTCTTACTGTCTGTCTTACACTAGTACCTCTACTGGCTTCAACAGAACCATTCATGTTTTATACTGTCGGTTGTAACCCATTGTCTAAACATGGAAGTTGCACTATTTTCTTTTAAATGCATTTTAAAATGAGTTTAACTGAAGGCTTGCAAAACTCTTCGTAGTTCATCCATTCGTTCATGTTCATATTTGAGCTCTAGAATAGTGTATCTGGGCTTTGCTTGCATTCATTTCAACTGGATTGATATAAACTTCATGTGCAGCATGAAAAGCATATACACCGCTTTGGTTTTAACAAATATTTTTGATTGTATCCATGCATTTGTGCAATGCAGTTTTGCATGTTGGCAGGGTCTTAGAATCAGAGCTGGGGATGCAAGTTTTCCAGGCAATACATAGATGCAACAGCCAGCATACTCTTTAGCAGAGCACATTTGAAGGAAAAAAAAGACTGCCACTACATTTTGTACATGTCCTCTCTTACAATTTGTTCTTATTAGCTTTAATTTTGCTCCTTTGCATGTTAAATAGGTATATCGTGTAATTTTTTTAATGCCATAATTAAATAGAAATTACACCTCCAATTTGCCAACACTTGACTCCTATTGGCCAGTCAGTCAATTACAGGTAAGAGAGCTTCCCACTTTTTCTGTTTAATTCTTCTGATAGAACATAGTGCACCACTTTAATGGATTCATACCAGATAAGCTGACTACAGAGGGATTGAAGGGGTTTTTTGAAATCTGTTTTGGAACCTTCTTGTGAAGGGAGGGAGCTGTGCGTGATTGTATCTGATGAATGCATAAACCACCTGCAGCCAAGAAATGAGCTACTGCAAATTCCAACACGCAGCTGTTAAAACACCAGAAAGAACTGGTAGAGGCTGTCTGTGGATCTCCAGGTGGAAACTTGGGATGTGGAGTTCAGGTTTGATTCATAAATGCAATATCAGGTGAATGACACTTAATGACCACATCACTTGCTAGTGCAAACTAGCATAGCTTCACTGATGTGAAATAGCACAGGGTGCTTCATCCTGAAGAACTCAGAGCTGTACTCGCAGGGGTTCCTCTTACCCGCCAGTTGCATACAGGTTCATCTGGGTTGCAGTATGGGAGCTGTTTAATGTCATAAAGTGGTACTGTAGCCCTGAGACTACAGTAACTCTGAGACATGGATAAAAAAATAATTAAAAAATCCACATTCTGCTGCACCCACACTTGAAATTTAGAGGGTGGCAACTAATTCTTAAGGTTGGGACTTGGTCCATGCTTCCCTTCTGAAGGGTGCTATCCGGGCACGACTTGGACTTTGTAGCTCACCTTGCTCCGTTGTCGTGCTGGCTTGCAACCAGGATGCAGGTGTTGGAGTCCAGCGCCAACCCACAGAGCTGTGGTGCACCCCGACACAGAGCGAGCAGGCTCAGGGGAGAAGGGAAGGACACTGCCTGAGGAGCAGTGGGAGCTGAAATGTCCATCTAGCTGGAAGTGAATCCCACCCACTGGGATTTCTCGGGAAGGTTTATTATTAAGCAAGAATTGGTCCATGTGGGGCAGGAAGGATAAAGAAAAATGGGGCAAGTAGAGCCTGTTTTTTGCCAAAACTTGCTGATGTTCTTTGGGGTTGCCATGTTAACCTGGGACATTCAAAGTGTCTGCAGAGGGGGACTTCTGGTACATAGTGCATAGGGAGTGGTATTAGAAGTAGGAGAAAAAGTGCTCCAGTGTCACCGAAGACAAAAGTTTTCCTTCTGAACTCGCTGGGGTCTGCCGTGCAGATGATGGGTCCCACTGCCAGCTCTCATGGGTCTATGAAGCCTGTGAGCACTGGGGGTGTGTGCCATGCCAGAAATGGATCTTCCCTTTCCAATTCAGGCCTGACTATCAAAGTGACAGACCAGTAAATAATAATAAAAATACCCTCCTCTGAGGTTTGTCAGGTTTACTTAGGAATATTTTTTTTCTTGGGTTGCTGTGAAAGGATGTGGACCTGTTCTTTGGTTATTGACTGACATCGTATAACTGTTGTGGCATATGAGGCATGAAATTTATTGTCAGAAATATGGTGTCCAGGAACATAACAGTGCTGAATATTTTATCTTGCTGGAGTGCTGCCCACCCAAGAATGATTTTTATTTTAACTCTTCAGTCATTTCCTAGAGTTGGGGTACTAAATGTCAAATGCCCCTACTTCCCTCCTCTCCTGCAGGGTGAACAGGCAGTCATCTCGTATGCTTCCCCCGGGGAGATTATCCAAGCTTACGCCATTCAGATGCTTCTTTGCTCAAATGGAGTGTTTTTCTGTAGCAATTACAGAAGAGGGTGAGAAGCTCTGAGATGCAAAGGGGTGTCGTGCCAGGGGCTTGCCTTTCAGCTGTGAGACACCACCTCATTTCTCTCCTGAAGTCCAGACCTTGAAAACACTGAAGTGCAGATCTCCCCGTCAGTCAGACTGGCTGTGGTCGGGCTACATGCATATCTGAATGCTGTGGGCTCGGGGCTGTAGGGAGGACGGTGGCCTTGCCGGGTTGATTCTCTGCCCAGTGAAGTCAGCGTTCAGCCCTCTGGCTGCTTGTGGTGCAGCACTGTGTTGGCTGGCCGGTTGCTCCCGGTGTGCCTCAAAACAAATCCCAGCACTCGGAGATTAGGGCGTGTTGCTTTGCCTCTCTGTCCTCGCCTCCCTTGTAGCTCACCAGAAATAACTGAGAGCACAAATCATTGTTAATTTAACTCTGACTGGCACAATGATACATGGAACCCTAAAATGCTAGCTGAATAGGTTGAAATTCTTTAAATAATTTTATTCTAGAATGAGGAATATTACACTAAAAATCCAACTCCCTGACTTCTATTCTTTTTCTGTTAGTGACTTTCTTTGTGGCTACAGTGGACTCTTCATCACTTTGCAGGACAATAAAATGTTTGGTTTTGACATTTCCTGCTACACTTGCACTAAATTTCTGTTTCTTCTAGTGTTTTGGCACAAGTAAGTTGTTGACTGTAGTCAAAAGTAGACAAATTTGTTGTGTTTCCAGCCTAGATGGTTTCTTCATGTTGCAAAACCTGCTCCAGGGTAGACTTTGTGGTTGAGAGAGATTTCCTGTGCTGGTGCAGCCCTGTTCCCAGCCTACCCGTGTCCTGATACGGCAGCAGAGCCGTGTGTGCCACTGGGTTTTGTGCCTCGCTGAGCAGCTCCCCTGGATGTTGTGTTAAACCTTCCTTGCTGGATAGCGAGGCTGAGGTTGCAAGTCTCCTCTGGCTTGTTACCTAAATTGTGTTTGATCCTATGTCTCCTGAGGTGAGCAGCTAGCTGGTCACACCATCTCCTCCTCCTCTAGTACCTTTTTATCTGTAGCTGCCTGTTAATGGGCTTGTTTCTTTGCTAAAAATTACTGAGGAAGCCGGAGCCTTCAGAATGAGATAGGGAAAAAACTAAGCAGTGTAAGTGCTGAGCCCCCTTTTCTGCGCTGTCTTCCTTTCTGCTCTTCTCTCTGGCTGTCCTTCCTGAGGACTGCTTCAGTAGCGGGGATGAGCACTCGCCCGGAGGCGTTGCACACTGGCGATGCAGCCTTTCCCTGTCCGGCAGACAGGCTTTAGCAGGGGTGGGGTGGGTGGCAGAGCCGGACCCGTACTGCACCCGCTCTTCTCTCAGTGGTTTGGATGAACAGAGCTTCAAGTCCGGCAAGCTGGTTTTGCACCCTCCTGCCCTTTCCTCCGGGCTATTGACGGAAGTCAAGAGGTAATGTCTGGATCTGCCTCACCGGCATGTGACTGGAAGATACGGATGCTGCTGGCCTTGGTGGTGAGGCAACACCCAGTCCATAAAGGACCAGATGGCCCCAAACCTGAGCCCAGGGTGGGGCATGGTGAGCAGCTTGCTGGCAGAGCTGGGCAGGCAGCGAGCTGCTGCATGAGCTGTGCTTGGTCCTCAGCACGTGTGACTGCATGGAAAGGAGGATGAGCCCAGGGAGCGGGTGCCCTTCGGGATGCAGCCTGCTGCCCACAAGGGCTTTGCTGAATGTGGCAGAGCAGACGTGGCTGGATTTGGTCCTTGTAATCAACATCTTATTTTACTTCAGTGGATTTTTCATTTCTCTATCTTTTATTCTTGCTT